CTTAATTTTTAGAGACAGAGCCTCGCTCTGTCACCAGGACTGGAGTGCAGTGGTGTCTCACTGTACTTTTACCAGAAAAACCCATGATACTTTGTTTTCTTCCCCCTGGAGAGAGTCTGGGGGAGGCTGGGGTATGTGAAGGGGGCCCACGGCTCCTCTCCAGTGGTGCCCTTCCCAGACATCTTCTCAGGGTGGGTCCTCCCCAAATCTAACATCTTCACCCCGCAGGCACGTTCCCCGGGGACTGTCCCCACCACCACTCCAGCTGGGTTTCCTTGGCTGGCTTTCCACTTCTAGCCCAGGCCTTTCTGAAATCCATCATTTTCCCCTCCCCCAAATCCAAGCCTGAGAATTCCACCTCTAGGGGATGGAGGAAGTGGGGGATGGAGAGGATAAAGACAGTTACTATGGTGCTGATGAAATCCGATCCTGGTCACTGAAGGGTTATTACTCATCCCGGCTTCCAGGGCTCCAACCTTGAGAACTCCCTGGGCTGAATTCCCCAGTGCCCAGGAGCTTGGAGAGCTCCCCAGCGCCCAGCACCAGCTGCAGGCTTACAGAGAGGGCCGGCTTCCAGAGCTGACAAAAGTGCACCAGGAGTACAATCACGCTGACATTTAAAAGTGAATAGTGAACTAAAACACAGGGTGGGAGCAGGCTGGGAACAGCCAGATGGCTGCTGTCCAAAGAGGTGCATCAGAAAGGTGACCAGATGTGCCGCGTGAGGGGAGAGGGTGGGGCCGCTTCCCGCCCCGCCTATCTACAGAGTTTGTCCCTTCCATTCTTCTATGCCTTTTTTTCTTCCCTTTTGTTTTCCATAGGTCAGAGTCAGATTTCCTCTCCAAACCACAGTGCTTCAGGTTTTTTTTGTTTTGGCACTGCTTCTTTCCAGATGTACTTCTCAGGTGGCCTCATCTGCACCACCCGGTTGGCTGGCCCCGCATCTCGGCCCTTTCTGGGGCTGCAGCCACCCCTCACGCTTCTGTGCCCCCAGTTCCAAAGCAAAGAAGGCTCTGATTCAGTATTTCAAAAATGCAAGGAATTCTCTTTTTAGAAGCTTAGAACGAACCCAAGTCCTTGTCTGCATTTCCTTCCGGATCTTCTTTGATTTGTGACATGGCCTTAGCAAATCACTGAATGTGCCCACTGGGATGGGGGTGGCCTCCTGTGGGGCACTGAGTCTGTGTGTGTGATGGGAGGGCATTCGCTTTAACGGTGAGGAAGGGATGCCCTCAGGACGGTCTGTCCCCTCGAGCATGGCCCTGCAGCCTTCTGTGAGCTGGCTTCTGTCCACCACTGCTGGCTCATCTCCCTCCCCCACCTTCTTCTCTCTGCGCCAGCCCTAGTGAACTACTTTGCAGTTATTTTTCTTTCTCTCTCTCTTTTTTTTTTAGTTTCGCTCTTGTTACCCAGGCTGGAGTGCAATGGCGTGATCTCGGCTCACTGCAACCTCCGTCTCCCGGGTTCAAGCGATTCCTCTTCAAGCCTCCCAGGCAGCTGGGATTACAGGCGTGCGCCACCATGCCAAACTGAATTTTTTGGTAGTTTTAGTAGAGACGGGGTTTCACCATGTTGGTCAGGCTGGTCTTGAACTTCTGACCTCAAATGATCCACTCGCCTCAGCTTCCCAAAGTGCTGGGATTATACTCATGAGCCACTGCGCCCAGCCTACTTTGCAGTCCTGAAGGTGACAGCTAGGCCTCACCTGTCCCCATATTTCTGTAGGATGGCTCCTTTTGCCTGCAATGTGCTGACTACTTGTTCTGAGTGTTGGCCCTCAGAACTCGCCTCCCTGGGAGTGAGTGCCCTCCCTCGGTCTCCAGAACTCACTGCCTCCACCTGCCTCTAATGGGGTCCTGGATAGTCGGCTTATGTCTCTGTTACCCCACTGCACTGAGACAAGTCTGTGGGTTTTTTTTCTTTTCTTTTCTTTTTTTTTTTTTGAGACAAGGTCTTGTTCTGTTGCCCAGGTTGGAGTGCAGTGGCATGATCATAGCTCACTGCAGCCTTGAACTTCTGGGCTCAAGTGATCTTCCTACCTCTGCCTCCCTAGTAGCAGGGACTGCAGGCTCGAGCCACCATACCTGGCTAATTTTCTTTTTTTTTTTTTTTTTTTTTACATTTTTTGTAGAGATGGGGATCTTACTGTGTTGCCCAGGCTGGTCTCAAACTACTTCACTCAAGCGTCCTACCACGTCAGCCTCCTAAAGTGCAGTGGTTACAGGCGTGAGCCACCATGCCAGTTGTGTCTTTTCTCTGTTTTCCTACACATAGTGGAGTGTCTGACACATGGCAGAATGAGTGGAAAGCCCACCAATGCCAGGGAAGTCGCACACAGCAATGCAAAACGGTATGCCTCCCAGATCTCCAGTCTGAGCTGCCAACTGATTCCATCCTTTATTTTACCTTACTTTTTATTTTTTGAGACGGAGTCTTGCTCTGTCTCCAGGCTGGAGTGCAATGGCATGATCTTGGCTCACTACAATCTCTGCCTTCCGGGTCCAAGCGATTCTCTTGTCTCAGCCTCTTGAGTAGCTGGGACTACAGGCACCCACCACCTTGTGCGGCTAATTTTTGTATTTTTAGCAGAGACGGAGTTTCACCATGTTGGCCAGGCTGGTCTCGAACTCCTGACCTCAAGTGATCTGCCTGCCTTGGCCTCCCAAAATGTTGGGATTACAGGCATCAGTCACCACACCTGGCCTATTTTATTTTTATTTTTGAGATGGAATGTCACTCTGTCACTCAGGCTGGAGTGCAATGGTGTGATCTCAGCTCATTGCAGCCTCTGCCTCTGGGGTTCAAGCGATTCTTGTGCCTCAGCCTCTCAAGTAGCTGAGCTGGTATTATAGGCACGAGCCACCATGCCTGGCTAATTTTTGTATTTTTAGTAGAGACGGGATTTCACCATGTTGGCCAGGCTGGTCTTGAACTCCTGACCTCAGGTGATCCGACTGCCTCAGCCTCCCAAAGTGCTGGGATTACAGGCGTGAGCCACTGTGCCTGGCCATCCTTTTTTTGTGGGGGCAGGAGAGAAGGTCTCCCTCTGTTGCCCAGGCTGGAATGCAGTGGTGAGATCTCAGCTCACCACAATGTTCACCTCCCAGGTTCAATCAATTCCTGTGCCTTAGCCTCCCAAGTAGCTGGGATAACAGGTGTAGGCCACCACAGCTGGCTAATTTTTCTATTTTTAGTAGAGATGGGGTTTCACCATGTTGGACAGGCTGGCCTCAAACTCCTGGCCTCAAGTGATCCATCCATCTCAGCCTCTCAAAGTGCTGAGATTACAGGCATGAGTCACTGTGCCCAGCCTATTCCATCCTTATCTCAGAAGGGCTTACTCTTCAATGCTAGGCAGTCACCTGCTCTACAGACTAGAGGGTCCAAGAGTGACTGTCATTCAAACGCTTTAGCGAAGTAGCCAAGGCGGGTACCTGAGCTTGTCTGCGATGAAGATGACCCTCCTCTCCAGAAGCAGGGAGGCAAACACACAGACCAGGTGGCGGACGCTGAGGGAGGAGAAGAGAGACTCAAAGTCCACGTGCTCGAGCCGGGAGTCCAGCGGGCGGCACAGTTCGATCACCTGCCAGGGAACAGGAGCAGCCATGAAGGAGGGGCCCAGCTACGCAGCCAGGCCTCTCACGGGCGTCGCAGTCACGGGGCTCTGAGGTCCTCATCAGGGGTGACCCACTGGCGGGGGAAAAGGGAAAGAAAAAAAGCAAAACGAAAGGATTGGGGGAAAAGAAAGATGCCAGAAGACTGGGGAAGGAGGTAGCTTTGGGAGGGAAGCAAGCGTCTCACATTCAGCTATGAGACTGAGGACGGTGTGGACGAAGGGGAGGAGACAGGATGGCAAAATCCATGGTTTTTGGCCCCAAATGGTTGGGGGGCTCTCCCTGGCAACAGCATATCTGCACTCGCCATGGAGAGTGTATAGGACTTTTGAAAACCGTTCTGTCCCTGGGAGTCCAGCGGAGAGCATCTCTGTCTCTTGAGGAACTGGTACCTGCTAGGTGGAAATCCCAGGCTAGCACGGAACGCCCAGCAGGCCTGAGCAGCACTTCGGAGACTTGCTGCCACCTCAAGAAGGTGTTTTTTAGGTAATCCTGACTCCATCCCACTCCATTTCTGATGATGTGTGCTTTCAGCTTTTGTGCTTTGTGTCTATATCTTCTTTTTTTTGAGATGGAGTCTTACTCTGTTGCCCAGGCTGGAGTGCAGTGGTGCAGTCTTGGCTTATTGCAGCCTCTGCCTCCCAGCTTCGAGCAATTCTCCTGCCTCAGCCTCCCAAGTAGCTGAGATTATAGGTGCCCGCCACCATGCCCAGCTAATTTTTGTATTGTTAGTAGAGACAGGGTTCCACCATGTTGGCCAGGCTCGTCTCGAACTCCTGACTCCAAGTGATCCACCTGCCTCGGCCTCCCAAAAGAAGGGATTACAGGCATGCTGGGATTACAGGCGTGAGCCACCGTGTGCCCAGCCTGTGTATATATCTTCTTCTTCTGCACTTGTTGAAGTGTTCCTGAATTCCCTCAAGTTGGTACCCATCTCATATTTTTTTCTCTTTAAATAGCTGCCTCCTTCCCAGTGAGTGGAGAGTGGATTTCACTCTTAGCATTGCTCCTGCCTGGTGCTGCCCCCACGGTGAGGCTTCCCCTCCGGTAACCTCCCTGCTACCTCCCCATGGCCAAGCCACTGCATCTGGTATGGGATGTTTTCGGGTTCTCTGGCAACAGAGAGACTGCTGTTCTCTCTGCTGGGAAACTAGGTTGTTCCAGAGTGTTCCAGGCCTTTTCTCCTCCCTCCTTTGTTTCCAGAGGTGATCTGGTTTGCTGAGGGTCTCTGAAACTGAAGACTCAAGGCTAAATGGGGTCCTTCTTCTGATGTCCACCAAGCCATGCAAAGGGGATGGGAGGGATGAAAACAAACTCTTTCGTAAAATCCCAGCCCAGGCTGGGCACAGTGGCTCATGCCTGTAATCCCAGCACTTTGGGAGGCTGAGGCGGGCGGATCACGAGGTCAGGAGTTTGAGACCATCCTGGCCAACATGGTGAAATCCCGTCTCTACTAAAAATACAAAAATTAGCCAGGTGTGGTGGCAGGCACCTGTAGTCCCAGCTACTTGGGAAGCTGAGGCAGGAGAATAGCTTGAACCCGGGAGGCCGAGGTTGCAGTGAGCTGAGATTGCACCACTGCACTCCAGCCTGGGCAATAGTGCAAGACTTGGTCTCAAAAACAAAAACAAAAAATAAAGTTATAGAGGCGATACAGACTTGAAATGTAAATAGGTTTCAATACAATGTATGAATGAAAATGGGCTATTAAAAGAAACTAAGGATGTTCAGTGCAGATCCCTAATCTGAGGCCAACATCATGCAAAGGAACACCCCAGCTGCCATAGCATAGTTCCCGCTTGGGCAGAGTCCTAGCCTGGATGGACTGAGGGTGGAACTCATGAAGAGTGATCTGGGCCAGCCCGAGGGGCGGGGAGAGGACACCATGGAATCGGACTGCTCACTGAAAGGCAGCCCCTCTGAGCACGGAGACTTGGCTGTCTGGGCCACTACCTCCCCGCAGGGAGAAGGAAGGAGTCTGGCAACTTACCTCAGTTCCTGAACCTGGCAGGAAGTTCTTGACAAGGATGGTTTTGCCCAGGGCTGGGAAAGGAGCTTCCATGACACTTCTCATGAGTGGTTGAACCAGGGCAGGAGAGATGCCTCGTCTTTTTTCCACCTCATCCAATATCTGCAAGGGTCACAAAAGCGGCTTAGCTATTCTGAAGCCAGAGCACCATGGCATGGTGACTTAAGAATTACGGGGAAGCCTTGCTTTCCCCATGAGGCCAGAACAGGCCTTCTGACCCTCCACATGATTGTCCCCAATTCTTCTCCCCTCTGTGTGTCCACACCCTTTGCCATGCAACGTTGCAGCTCCTACTCAAGGAGTGAAGTCTACTTCCTTGCCCCTTTGACTTAGGGTTTGGCCATGTGACTGGTTGTGCTAATACATACATTCCCAATGGGGGTAATATCACCCCAAGGGGGTAACAACTGGTTTTTGGCAGGAATGAAAAAACTGAGATATTATAATGGTTTGTAGCCCTCTAAGAGGTCAAAGTACATAAACAGATAATACAGTTTATTTATGGATTAAAATGTCATGGGAGGGGATATCCATCAGGAAAATACAAATCAAAAGCACCATGAGATACCACTTCACATCCGTTAGGATGACTCTAATAAAAAGACGGATAATAACAGGTGTTGGCAAGGACGTGCACAAATTAGAACTCTCATACACTGCTGGTAGGAATGTAAATAGTGAAGCCACTCTGGAGAAGTCTGGTAGTTCCTCAAAAGGTTAAACATAGAGTTACCATATGACCCAGCACATAGCACTCCTAGGTCCCTACCCAAAAAAAATGAAAACATATATGTTCACATAAAAATTTGTACGTGATTGTCTGTAGCAGCATTATTCATGATAGCCACAACACGGAAGAAACTTAAATGTCCATTAACTGAGGAAATGATAAACAAAATGTGCTATATCCATATAATGGAATATTATTTAGCCATCAAAGTGCTGATATATGCTATAACTTGGATAACTCTTGAAGACATTATGCTAAGTGAAAGAAGCTAGTTTTTTTTTTTTTGAGACGGAGTCTTGCTCTGTAGCCCAGGCTGGAGTGCAGTGGCCGGATCTCAGCTCACTGCAAGCTCCGCCTCCCGGGTTCACGCCATTCTCCGGCCTCAGCCTCCCGAGTAGCTGGGACTACAGGCGCTGCCACCTCGCCCGGCTATTTTTTGTATTTCTTAGTAGAGACGGGGTTTCACCGTGTTAGCCAGGATGGTCTCGATCTCCTGACCTCGTGATCCGCCCATCTTGGCCTCCCAAAGTGCTGGGATTACAGGCTTGAGCCACCGTGCCCGGCCGAAAGAAGCTAGTTATAAAAGGCCATCTAGTGTATGATTCCACTTAGATGAAATGTCCAGAATAGAAAAATCCAGAGAGACAGAAAGCGGACTGAAGGTTGCTTAGAGTTAGGGAGTAACTGCTAATAGGTATAGGATGTTTTGTTGGGGTGATGAAAATGTTCTAAAATTGTGGTGATGCTTGTATAACTCTGTGAATATGCTAAAAGCCATTGAACTGTATATTTTTTTATTCTTTTAGAGATGCGGGTCTTGCTAGGTTGCCCAGGCTTGCCTTCAACTTCGGGGCTCAAGTGTCCTCCTACGTCAGCCTCCTGAGTAGCTGAGACTACAGGTACTTGCCACTGTGCTCAGCAAATTGTGTACTTTAAATGAGTGAATCGCATGGTATGTGAATTATATCTCAATAAAGCTACTACTAAAAAACTAAAAACAAACAAACAAACAAAAAAACAAAATCCAAACTCTCCACAATCTAATTGTAAATCAAAGAGTCTAAATTAAAATGCCATTTATGAAGCTGTGTAAGGTGGCACACACCTGTAATCCCAGCTACTTGGGAGGCTGAGGCAGGAGGATTGCTTGAGCCCAGGAATTTGAGGCTGCAATGAGCTATGATCATGCCACTGCATTATAGCCTGGGCAACATAGTGAGACCCAGTCTCTATTTTTAAAAACTGCCATTTATAAAAGTATCACATGTAGCTGTTGAGCCCTTGAAATATGGCTAGTCTGAATTCAGAGTTTTTTTTTCATTTTTTATTATTTTTTATTTTTTTGAGACAGTTTTGCTCTTGTTGCCCAGGGTGGAGTGCATTGGCACAATCTTGGCTCACTACAACCTCCGCCTCCCAGGTTCAAGCGATTTTCCTGCCTCAGCCTCCCGAGTAGCTGGGATTATAGGCGTGCACCACCACGCCTGGCTAATTTTGTAGTTTTAGTAGAGACGGGGTTTCTCCATGTTGGTCAGGCTGTCTCAAACTCCCGACCTCAGGTGATCTGCCCATCTCGGCCTCCCAGTGCTGGGATTACAGGTGTGAGCCATTGCGCCCGGCCCAGATGTACTGTTAAGTGTAAAATACCAGCTGGGCATGGTGGCTCCCACCTGTAATCCCAACACTTTGGGGGGCCAAGGTGGGCGGATCACCTGAGGTTGGGAGTTCGAGACCAGCCTGGCCCACATGGTGAAACCCTGTCTCTACTAAAACTACAAAATTAGCTGGGCGTGGTGGCAGGTGCCTGTACTCCTAGCTACTTAGGAGGCTGAAGCAGGAGAATTGCTTGAATCCAGTAGGCAGAGGTTGCACTGGGCCGACACTACGCCATTGCACTCCAGCCTGGGCAACAAGAGCAAACCATCTAAAAAAAAAGTGTAAAATACCAACTGAATTTCAAAATACACAATCTTTCTTTTCTTTTCTGTTTTTTTTTTTTTTTGAGACTGAGTCTTGCTCTGTTGCCCAGGCTGGAGTGCAAGGGCGCAATCTTGGCTCACTGCAACCTCCGTCTCCTGGGTTCAAGTGATTCTTGTGCCTCAGCCTCCAAAAAAAGTGTAAAATACCAACTAAATTTCAAAATACACATTTTTTTTTTTTTGAGACGGAGTCTCGCTCTGTTGCCCAGGCTGGAGTGCAGTGGCGCAATCTCAGCTCACTGCAAGCTCCACCTCCCAGGTTCACGTCATTCTCCTGCCTCAGCCCCCCGAGTATCTGGGACGACAGGTGCCTGCCACCATGCCCGGCTAATTTTTTTGTATTTTTTTAGTAGAGACAGGGTTTCACCGTGTTAGCCAGGATGGTCTTGATTTCCTGACCTCGTGATCCGCCCATCTCGGCCTTCCAAAGTGCTGGAGTTACAAGAATGAGTCACTGTGCCCGGACTTTTTAAAAATTTTTTTATTTTTTGAGATTGAGTCTTGCTCTGTTGCCCAGGTTGGAGTGCAATGGCCCAATCTTGGCTCACTGCAACCTCTGCCTCCTGGGTTCAAGTGATTCTCGTGCCTCAGCCTCTCAAGTAGCTGGGATTACAGGCACGTGCCACCGCACCCGGCTAATTTTTGTACTTTTAGTAGAGATGGAATTTTGCCATGTTGGCCAGGCTGGAACTCCTGACCTCAGGTGATCTAACCACCTTGGCCTCCCAAAGTGCTAGGATTACAGGTGTGAGCCGCCGTGCCCAGCCCTCAAAATAGACAATTAAGAATATAAAATATATCAATGATTTTTTTCATGTCAATTATATGCTGAAATAAAATAATATTTTGGACATATTCTGTTAAATAAAATGTATTATTAAAATTAAAAAGACAGGATGGCAGTTCCTCAAAAAACTAAATAGAATTACCATATGATCCAGCAACTCTATTTCTGGGTGTATACCCAAAAGAATTGAAGCAGGGACTTGAATAGATGTTTATTTGTACACACGTGTTCCTAGCAGCATAATTCACAATGGCCACAATGTGGAAACCACCCAAATGTCCATCAATGGATAAATGGATAAATAAAATGTTGTACATACCAAATGGATAAATAAAATGTTGTACATACGTACAGTGGAATATTATTCAGCCACAAAAGGAATGAAGTACAGATACATGCTACAACACGAGTGAACCCTGAAAATATTATGCTAAGTGAACTGAAGTCAGTCACAAAAGGACAGCTATTGCATGGTTCTACCTCTATAATGCTCCTAGAATCCTCAAATTCATAAAAATAGAAAGTAGAATGGCGATGGTAAGGGGTTGGTGGGGGGAATAGGAAATTATTGTTTAATGAGTACAGAGTTTCTTTTTTCTTTTGAGATGGAGTCTCGCTCTTGTTGTCTAGGCTGGAGTGCAATGGCGTGATCTTGGCTCACTGCAACCTCT